AGTACAGTAGTCCCTGCTCCACAGAGGATACTTATAAGACCCCAGTGGGTGTCTGAAAACCAGGGGCCATGCCGGACCCTCGAGCACTGCGAAATAATGTTTTTTCCTATACGTACACACCTATAATAAAGCCTAATTTATAAATTACGCACTGTAAGAGAGTAACAACAATAGCTGTAATAAAATAGAACAATTATAAAAACGTACTGTAATAAGCTATGTAAATGTAGTCTCTCTCTCTCAAAGTATTTTTTCTTAAAGAATTTATTTACTTATTAGAGAGAGAGAATGAGAGATAGAGAGCACGAGAGGGAAGAGGGTCAGAGGGAGAAGCAGACTCCCCGCTGAGCAGGGAGCCCGATGCGGGACTCGATCCCGGGACTCCAGGATCATGACCTGAACCGAAGGCAGTTGCTTAACCAACTGAGCCACCCAGGCGCCCTCTCTCTCTCAAAGTATTGTACTCACCTTGTACTGTACTCACCTTGCTTCTTGTGAAGATGTGAGATGGTAAAATGCCTGCATAAAAAGATGAAGTGAAGTGAGTGACGCGGGCTTGAGACAGCGACAGGCTGCGACTGACCTTCCCAGCCACGGGTCGGAAGGAGGATCATCTGCTTCCGGACTGCGGTTAACCGGGATACTGAAACCAAGGTAAGCAAAACCACGGATAAAGGGGGAACTACTTGTAGACGGAGCTGGAATAGAAGTTTCACAGGAAGAGAAAGGGAGAAAGGCATTCCATGCTGACAGGACGACGTCTTCAAGGGTGTGGGGGAACTACAGGAAGATACTGCTGCTAGATCCTAGGGTGTCAGAAGGTGGTCAACCGAAATGAGGCTGGGGAGGCAGACTCAGTCACATACAGGAAGAACTTTTTATATCATGCAGAAGGCTTTATATTATATTCCACAGACAAGGAGGATACAGACACCGTACGAGGTTTTAGTCAGGGAGTAACTTTTAAGTCAACTCTGGCAACGGTATGGAAATTAATTGAAAGGGAAAAGAGTTTAGAGACCTAGAAAATCACTGGGGCTGTGAACTTCGGTATCACACTTGACTGCTAGCCTATTATGTGACCCAGGACGTGCTGATATGAGGAAAACCAACATGTAATATTTTTATCTTTCAAAGCTGATAATACAGGGAGTTAACAAGTTATGTGTGTATAAACAATAGTTTCACAGTTGGGAAGCTGTGAAGTGTCCCTCATATGAGTCCTATAGTAATATATGCCTGATTCACCCTTGGGTTTATCAACATCATTAGATCAGCATCTGAAGAGCCATCAGGGTCACTGTCTGGATCTGCTATGTTGCAGGGCTGGCTCCCTGTGGAAGAAGTTAACTCCACAGACTCTAGATCTGAGGAGTGAGGTCTCATAGCTGGGAGCAGGCACTCGGGTTTCCCATTTGAGGAATGTTCCTCTACTCTTCGTTAATACAAACTGTCCTGCCAAAATCTAATCATTACTTCACAGCTCCATTTGTCTCTTCATCTTTTCTCTAAAATTTGCTCCATTCAAAGCCAATACTTCTTTTAATAATAACAGTAGGTACTTCCACAGCAGTTCCTATGTGTTAGGCACTATTCTAAATGCTCCACATATATTAAATGATTAAATTTTCATATCAACCCGATAAGACAATAACTATTATTATTGTCTTACCCTATTCAAGCTGCTATAACAGAATACCACAGACCGGGTGGCTTAAAAGGAATAGAAATTTATTTCTCGGGGTTCTGGAGGCTGCAAAGTCTTAAGATCAAGGTACTGGCAGATTCCATGTCTAAAGAGAGCCACTTCCTGGTTCATACCCCTAGTCGTCTCCCAAAGGCCCCGCCTCCAAATACCATCACTTTGGGGATTAGGTTTTAACATAAGAATTCGGGGGATGGGGACACAAACATTCAAATCTGTAGCAATTACCCTCATTTTTCAGAGGAGGAAGTAGCAAGTTGCCCAAGATCCCACATGAGAACAGAGGCACTAATCATATTTAAGCCATCAGGCTCTGGAGTTGATATTTTTAATCACCATAATGTGTTGCCTCTCACAAATCTCAATTTTACAAGGTACCTCGTAGGAAACAAGGGACTGGTATATGGAATTTTGCTTTATAGAAAACTTTTCTTGGCTACTCCCTTTTTAATAAACTACAAAATCCTAGAAGTTTTGTCCCTGTACCCAGTTGTTATGCCTTTATCTACATGGTTTGCATCGGTCCAACAATCTTAAGAAACATTAATTCCTCGTACCATGTCTGGAAGTGCAGTTCAGCTAGACAGAAAAATTAACCTTTCTTAAATGATTTTCCTTACAGGTTAACCAAAACTCTCTCCATATCACAAATAAGATCTTTCTGTAAGCATTCTCCTAGGACATGAAGACTCACATAAGAATTTGTAGCTCATTAAAGTGTCTTCCCTTTAATACTCAAGATTAAAATGAAACCTTTTCTGCAAGGTCAGCAATAAGAGCAAATCTAATGTAAGTTCTTTATTGATTAAAAAAAAGTTGACTGCATTAATCTTTTTACTTTTTATCTTGTCCTTAGGTCATAAGTCACCAATCCTTGCATGCGAGGGAATTACAGGAATTTTGTTCCCTGAAGCTTTCAAAGAGGATATCATAACAGCAGAAAATTATTTTTTTAAAGAAATCATTCTATCATATAAGGTTTCAGGATCTACCTAGTTAAAGGACCTCCACCCTGCCCATTCTTAGATGCTCCCTATGTCATTTTTGGAGTCTGAACTTTATTTCCAAAAATAATTATTTAGATCATGATGAGCACCGGGTGATGTATGGAATTGCTGAATCACTGTATTTTACACCTGAAACTAATATTGCACTGTATGTTAACCAACTGGGTTTAAAATAAGAACTTAAAAAATAATTTTTAAAACAATAATTTAGATAGAAAAAAATTAGCTGGCACTTAGCTCCTTAGGCTTTTTTGTTTTTATTGTTATTATTAAGTAAACTCTCCACCCAATGTGGGGCTGAACTCATGAACACCTAGATCAAGAATGGCATGCTCTACCCACTGAGCCAGCCAGGCACCCCTAGCTACTTATGGTTTTTCAAAATTCTTCTTCATGTGAACAAAATCTTAGAACTTTAATGGGCCTGTGATTCTGAGTAAAATAATATATTAAAATATTTCTCACTTTTCCCCAAGACTTTTTCAAAAAATTGATGTGCATGACATAGAGGTCAAACCTTTCAGGCAAAAAATTTTGTGAGGTGGCCAATGCTTCAAAGTGAGAAGACAAAGGAAGGTGGGTGTAGAACAATCTCCATGTTTTTCTTCAGTTGCTAATGGAGTGGTTTGTTCATTGGCACAGACCTAAGTCAGCCCACCGAAAGGCAGCAGGGTGCTTTCAAGTCCCCTTGGGTGGGCGAAGCAGGTGCTTGTTCTGCCTTATCATGCACTAAACACTGAATAAGTGTTGAAAAACAGAAAGAGTTGATATGCAACCCTTTCACCTCGCACCCACTCACCTCTGCTAGTGTAAAATAATGCTAAAAAAAAAAAGATTAGCACACAAAGGTCAGGATCTGCTTAGATAAAGAGGAACTCTACAGCCACCTTTACCTTCTGAGCACTGCGAGCAGGCCACGCGCAATACTGGGGGAAACAACGATTTATCATGGAGAGTAAACTGTGGATTTGAATCCTAGCACTGCTGTGTACAAGCTGTGTAATCTGGCCAAACTACATAATGTCTTGGTATGCGTATCTAGAAAAAGGGAATTATCCCAACCTTAAAGACTGGAAGAGAATTGAGAAAAGCATGTGAAAACAGCTGGCCCCAGGAGGCTCCAGGTAACCTAGTCTGCTCTTTCCCTTGGCGTGTTTATGGGGGTTGGTGACCTCACACCCCATGGTCTCCAGCATCTCGTTCGTCCAACGAAGGTACTGAACCGAATGGTCACCCTCCCTTCTGTGGGCACTGATCACTCATCATCACCTCTCTCCATCTCGGTGCTTCGGCATTTTCCCGGCTGCCTAGCAAAGTCTAGACTGGTAGGATTAACTTCCAGCTCCATTGGTAGAGTTGTGGGGTTGGCGGAGAAACGCCAAGGAGTGCTCCACGCCTGCCTTTTCCCTCCTGGTCTGTCTGTGACACTCTCAAGAGGTGAACACCAAAGAGGTCCCTTTTGTGGCCCGTATCAGCAACTCCAGAGGCAGGGTGGGGAGTAGCAAGGGACAGTGCCCGACGCCACGACTAGGAGAAAGATTCCCGAGCTCGCTCCGCTCCTGCTGGGCTCCGGGATGGGCCCTGGGCTGGGAAGGAGTCTGGGCGCGCAGTGACGCCCGGGAGGCTGCAGGGCGCCGGAGCGGTCGGACGGGGGAGCGAGAGCTAAAGCTTGCAGAGCGCGCCGACCCACAGGCGTCGGCGGCCGCGGCCGGGCGGCTGACGCCCAGCCGAGCCCGCCGGGCCGCGGGAGGCGGAGGCCGAGCGGGAGGCGGAGCGGGCGGCGCCGGGGAGGCGGAGGCGGAGGCGGCGTCTCCCCGAGCTGCGCAGGCGTTGCTTGTACCTTGTTGGTCAGTGCTGGGAGCGCTGCTATGGCGTTTCTCAGACCCGCGGCTCCTCCTCACACGCTTGAGGCGGAGGGAAGGAGGGGTAAGAGGAGGAGGAGGCGAGCGGGCGGCCGCCGCAGCTGCAGACCCGGGGCCAGAGAAGGAGGCGGAGCGGGAGCCGCCGCAGCCACCCCGGCCGCCGCCGCCCGCAGCCTCTGGGCTGCTGCGAGTCCTCTCCGGGCTTGAGGGCACGCGGGGCGCCCTGGCCATGCCCCGCATTGGTAGCTGAGCCGGGCTCGGGCCCCCTCCTTCCCGGCCGCTTCAGCCGCCGTGCCCCCGGGCTGCCCGCGGCCGGAGTGCCCGGCGCCTCCCGCGCGCCCCAGACCGCGAGCGCGAGCAGTCGCGGCCGCCGAGGCGCGGGTGGTGGCCGGCGGCGGCGACGGGAGCGCGGGGCAGGAGGAGGCGGGGAAGATGGACCCGGCGCCCTCGCTGGGCTGCAGCCTCAAGGATGTGAAGTGGAGCTCGGTGGCCGTTCCGCTCGACCTGCTGGTCAGCACTTACAGGCTGCCCCAGATCGCGCGGCTGGACAGCGGTGAGTCCCGGCCCGGCCGCCAGCTCAGGGCAGACCGGCGCGGACCGCAGTCTCGGCGCTGATGTGCGCGGGTGTGCTGGGGAGGGTGGGACCGGGTGGGGAGTGGGCTACCCGCCCCCGCGCCCCCGGCGCTGGAGTTGGCCGGAGCGGCTGCCGCAGCCCTGCCGCGCTGCTCTCAGCTACCCCCGGCAGCAGCTAGAGATGTGAAAATCAGAGCCCTTACAGTGTAATTAAAAAGGACGCCTTAAAAAAAAAAATCAACATTGGGAAACCTCTGCAGATAGTAATTTTGGAGGCGAGCTGTCCCTCCCCACCCGCCTGCAAGAATTACTCGACCTGGGAAACCCTGAAGAGTTATCTTAGGCAACTTACTTACAAAAGCATTGTGCTTTGGGTGGCATCTTTATTTTGGATGCTCTCCTTCCCCCCCCCCCCCCCCCCAAGAAGCAGCAGATTTAAGAAGAAAAGCTCCTGGGTGACCAATGAAAGGGATCACATTTCTCAGAGACCTTTTATTACAGCTTGTCTGTTTTGTTTAACCGAACTGAAAGTAATTTGGGGCTGAGTGTAGAAAATGTTTTCAGCAGAAGTGATGGTATGCTTAAGGTTAATTATTAGCTTAGCACATTTCGAGCCTGGAAAAAATTTAAGTCTCCAAAACCTATATTGATTAGGAACCTGAGCTCAAAACTAAGATATGCTTGTATTTCCTGAAACTGACCACCAGAAATCAACCAAACATCCCCCAGCTGTTCGCTCTGCAGTGTGACATCTGCAAACAAGTGCATACTGTCAAGCAAGTAGACCCCTTTCAGTTTGCATTGTAACATGTAAGGTGGCAATTTAGGTGTGTCTTGTCTTGTGTTTTCACATTAACTTCAGTTGATTTGGGCTTCAGGTAATTTTAGACTGTTTTCAGAAACATGGCTCTGCCGTGGGGCTGCTGGAAAGCACTTGGGCCCAGGTTGGCAGGTGAGCAGATAGAACTGTGGTCACACAGGCCAAGTCAGAAAGAAGAGCACTGAGCAGAAAGATGTCATTTCAAGTCACATGGATTTGGGTTACTCCTTTTTTGGAGTACAAGGGTGTGTAACATGAGATGTGTAAATGTCCAAAGGCATTTTTATTCTTTCTTATCTGTGGGGTTAGATGAGACATTTGAAGTACTGATGTGAGAAATAAATGCAAGAAAGTTCATGAAAGCAATCTTGGCCATGATTTCTAGCCTTGTTTGGTTGGACTTGGTAGTGGTGGGAATAAACTAGGAGTTTGCAAGCTAGTAATGAAGTGCAGATGAACCCAGGAAGGACAGGTGGTGTGTTGAGGCATTTCTGCTTGCAGTGGGATGGGAAAGTGTTCCTTGCTTTAACTATGCCTGAATCTGTGTGTGTGTGTGTGTGTGTGTGTGTGTATTCATATTCACAGTGTTTCATTTCCTCTTCTGCTGTGCAAAATTGTATATATTGGAAGGTTTTGAATCCTCACCTTTTCCAACCTTCTCTCATCACTGCAGATTGCCAAAACTTCTTACCTAGGCAGAGAGCATTGATGCATGTGGTATAAAAGTCACCCAAAAGCTTCATTAAGTTGAAAGTTTAAAGAGGCCGAATGTCAGTTGCAGGTAGAACTTTTAGCTTTATTATCTGCTTTCCTATGCCTGTCATTCATAAGAAGGATCTGAATCAGCAGTGTACTCATCCCACACTTCTTTTTAAAATTAGGACGTGGGTTGCAAGTCCTAACACTGTGTCCTTTCAAGCTGTGGAATGGATTTTGATCATTGTGTAATTCCAATTCTTGATTGTAAATATTCTCTTCTTACCCCTTGAGAATCAACAGTGGCACATACAAATTTGGAATCATAGCCAAATACTGCTTTATACCTTGTTTCTTTCACTTAACAATTCCATCTTATTTAAATTTTTTCTTGTCTTTAATAGCTGCATACTATTCCAGGGGATGGCTATACTGTATAATCTAGTTCCCTATGGTGGACATCAGCTGCTCCATTTTTTTACTATTACAAGTTGTGATGTAATGAAGACCCTTACCCATAAATCTGTTTGTTTGGGCTGGTATATAGTCCTGCCTTTCTGAATAAACTTGTGAATCCTTTTTGAGTCCTTCATATACATTGTCAGATTGCTTCAGAGTCTAAAGGTGATACTCATTTCGACTACCATGAGAATTGTGGGAGTGCCACTCTCCCCACAGCCTTACAATATTAAATAACCTTAAAAAACGAACAAACAAACAAAAAACTTTGCTAATCTGATGAGGGGAAAGTGTTAGCTTTCCAATTAAATTTGGATAACCTTTAGAGTATCCAAGAGTCGATCATTGATGCCATGCTTATTTTTAATCACGTTTCACAGCAATGCTTAGAACGTATTCAGGACATGTCGCCATATTTATAAAAGCTGTAGGTGAAAGCTCAAGTTTTGTGCAGTCCTCATTCTGTGTCCTTTTGCCAGTTTTAGTACTGCAGGTACATTTTACACACACACACACACACACACACACACACACAGATTCCATACTTGACATGAAAGGTAGTCATTTTCCAAATCACTTATTTTAAGAGACTAGAAAGAAATGGAAAAACATGCCACTAGCTGACATGATGCCAAGAGAGAACTATTGGCTAATTTTAAACAGTCATTAAAGAACATTAAACATCTAACTTCATAACTGTAGACTATTGAACGCCTACTACATGCTGTACGTTTCTAGGTGCTTGATGCATATGGTCTCAAATTCTCAGCACCCCATTTTAAGGACTTTGGGAACCTGAGATTCAGAGAAGTTGAGTGACATACTTGGTAAATGTGTGGAGTGGGATTTTCAGCCAACTTTCTGACTCTAAAGAAAGACCTTTTATCTCAAACTTCACCTACTCGTACTAAATGGGAGCAGGTTTAAAGTAGGTCTAATGTCTACTCTAAATAGCCCCACTGTCTCTCTGAGAGCTTGAGGACCGGAAAGTCAATATTTTTCAAACAGTGTAGACACCGAGTTAAGTGCTGGCCTCATCCATCATATTTAGACTGCTTTCTGCTTCCCAAAGGAGTGGCTGACAAGTAGTAAGGGGCAGTGGGGAAGAAGAGAGTACGAAATCAGAAAAAGAAGGAAAAACATGGTATCTGAGGGCTTATGTACATAGATGGGCCTGTTGAGATTATTCCTCAGTACATTTGCCATACTTAAAAATTAACACAGTAAGGAACTCTCCAATTCTTTGCGTAATGGATGTTATGTCTGAAATGCCAGTCAGATAGACACATTCAATATTGCATCCCCAGTGGTGAAATTTGTCATCGTATGATAAGAGAAATAAAAATAGTGAGCCTTCATGGTATTGCCTCATGAATTTTTCTGGAAAACACAAAGAAAAGTACTCAAGAAGTAGCAATTCTCCTTAGGGAGTAAGATACAAGCTCATCAGCCAAGGGCTAACCCCATCAGCAATGCAGTTGAGATTAGATATTTAACATGGTCATCAGCCTTAGAAACTGTTGGCTGTAGAACCAGGTTCAACAGATGTGTTTATGACCAAGAAGAGGGTGGAGCAAATGCTAATCCCCACCCCATCTCCAGCCCATCCTAGCTCACAACTAGATAGGTGGGAAATTGTTCATTCTTTGTCTCTTCAGTTATTTTGCCTTAGAAAGGCTCCAGTGGTTGGTCTATAGCAGCGTTCTTCCACCTTTTTTGTTCCTGTAGCTCCTAAAAAATCCTGTAGAAGTCTGTACCCTAGGCACATTTTTAAGCTGATTGCTAAAACTTTTCCTCTTAGGTTTAAAACAGTTGCAAAGGATGTCATTTTTCAGCATATTATAAATCTTGACCTTTTAAATTCTTACATCATTAAAAATATTTTAGTAGGTCTATAATTGATTCCTAGTATCATTCATTTTTAAAAGCATGAATAAGTTCTTAAACAGTTAAAATCTTTACACCTTTTTTCTCCTTAAATTCAGTTTCGTTTTCCTTCCCTTACAGAATTCTATCCCCATCTAATATATTTTTATGCTTGAAAGTGTCTTATTGATCACTCTGTCATACTTTCTGTAACAAAAATACATATAAATTGAAACCCAATATTTTATATTTCTTTTGACCTTAGGGTTCTTCATATTTGAATGTTCCCAGTTGTTTGAAATGAAGAATTGGAAATTATCTGATTTAGAAAAGGCCTTGCAGCCCAGATGCTAAAGCCTCACTCCTTTACATGCATTAGCGTTTTTATTTGTTTCTTTGTTGGTCACCCTGAGGTCTTTACACCCTGGGGTCATGCAGTTTAGAAAGATCTAAAGATGCATTGTTTCTGTAAAGTGGGTGAAGGGTCTTTGTGACGGGGAGGTGGTGGAGGACAGCTTCCATTCATCCTGGGGTGGTGTCCGTCCGTCATAGCCATGATCCCAGGCAAATCAATTTTTAGACAAGAGAATATTGAGAAGTTGGGGCTCTGGAAATTGACTCCCCTACAGCTATGATGGTAAGTATTGGTTTTGCATCAAGTATGTACCGCTGTTTGAAGAATGCTGGCCTCCATCAGTGAAAGATGAGTTCATGGCCCTGTTTGCTGAAAGGAAGAGGAATACCAAGCCTGTATGGAAGAAAAAGATGGTAGAGTTGGAGGCAGCTGCAGTGATGGATCAGCAGCAACCTCTCCTTTCCAGCTGTGCAGAGGAGTCAGAGCCGGTGCTCAGCCCCAGGTGTGTTGGCACTGTGGGAGCTTGGTCCTTGCTTTGTACTGAAGTGCTTCTCCAACTAGCATGTAAGTCCCCGGAAGGCTGAAGGAACAGAGACGTGAACACTGAACATGGCTAGGCTCCATTTGGCCGTTTGCAGATGTCAGAGGTGTTTCTAGATCTGTGTTTTATTTTTGAAAATAAGTTCTCAAAATCTCCATGATTGATGTGTGTGTGTGGGGGTAATTTTTTTCTAAATTAACTTAGTGTCAATCTTGTTCCCAGAAGATATGCTTCTCCATGGCT